CGGCATAAGTAATGAACAAGGATGGTTTGCTATTCATGTTTGATCTCTCATCAATGTCTTTGACACCTCGGAAATACAACACTGATACAAGATTTAGCGGTTATCGTAGGTCATGAATCACTCATATAATACGGGAAAACTGTATCGAGCCCATATCAGGTCTTACAAGTACATATCACGTAAGAAAGAACGAGAGTGTGAACGCCGGACAACATGAGGAAATCATAAATCACGCATTCCTTCCGGTGGTAACCGAGATATCGAGAAAAAGTTGTCCAAGAGTAAAAACGACCTAAGACGTTTTTATAGCAATTTCGATACAAAGTAAGGGATAAATTTGGAGGTTTTAAAACGGTCGCAATTTCCCGATATAGATCAGACTTAACCGCTGATAGCCATTCACTCGTGGAAAGCGGAAGGAACCACTATTACTAAAAAAATCTGCGTCTAATGAAGTCGATATTTCCGATCCAGTCACTGCCAGTCGACGTTACAGCCGGCCAGGTTACATTTCTAGCCTAAACAATAATGGCGGCTGCTAGCGAGTTTCCAACAGAACTGGCGACCCGTCCTTTGGGCCTCACAGCTCTTATGGGACTTGATATTAATCAGAAACCTTTGCACAAAGCTATCTGGGAGTCTTTTTCTGTGAACAGGCATCCTGAGAGAGTTCCACTATCCTTCAGACTTCTACCAATTGATCACGAATTTCCCAAAGCAAAATCAAAGGTGAGCTTTCCTATCGCTTTTAAGTGTAGTTACTCTTAAATCCTTTGATTACGTGAAATTCTTCTTATTTTGGTTACATTTAAGCTCTTTCAGTACAGTGGAAGCTCACCCTTTAAACCCGAACATCAGTATGAATATTCTCCATACTTTTCCCAATACTTTCCTAAGGTAACAATCAAGAACTGTAGTTGGTGATCATTTCCTTTATTCTCATGACCTTAGCTTAATGTTTGATTCTGGGGTTGTATAACAAGGAGAAATTAGATGCTAAAGGGTTAAATGGACACTATTTTCATACAGCAAGGGTGTCTGCATATAGGAAGCTACCACTGTTTCATTTTTCTTATACAATTTTATAAAGAAAGTTCTATGAGTGATTTCCACAAAATCATCAAAAGAGTTAATCACAAATCAATTGTACTCCTGGGTTTTTTTCCCAAGGAAGCATTCTCTTGCTTCCTTGAGTTCTGACTCTCTCAAACCTTTCCCTCCAAAGATTTCCTTAGTAATTCTCTGTACTGTCTGGCGTACAATTCTTAGGATGTTAGTTCAGAGAATCTGGAATTGGATCAACTAATGATCCTCTAATTTTTTCTTTTTTCTTTTTTCTCATCACTTGTCTGCTTGATATTGCATTGAAATTTTAGAAGTAAGTTCTGTCCCTGTCACTCGTGGGATTTGAAGTGTTAAGAGAACCTTTATCTTTGTAGGTGTGCATGGGGTCTCAGTAACATTTTCCATAAGTGAGGGCAGACACAGCCATGAGTGGGGTCACTAACATTGAAAATCTTAGCAGATAGCCATAGGAATGTAAGACCTCACAGAAGCAGTAGGCCTCCTGTAACCAGAGTTACTCAGACCTCTGCTTATGCGAGTATATGCTGGCTTTTTATCACTGAGTCTTGTTTCCTTGTAGCGGTCTACCTATGAGTGGTACATACCAAAGGGTATCTTGAAGACAAAATGGATGCACAAACATCTTTATCTCTCTCCTGCTGTGGTGGTCATGTTTTATGAGTTGGATTGGGATGACGTTCAGTGGAAAGACAGGCAAACTGAATGTGCTTCAAAACTAGAAAGAGTCAGGTAATAACAAGAGAGTGAGAATGTTATCTTACTCCTCTATAACAGTGAACTTTAATTAGCACTAATGACATGACTGAAAATTTTTAAGTAATATGACAAGTGTGGTTTGATTTTTAGACAAGAGGGTTCCATTGTATATATTGATTTTTATGACATTGTACAACTCAGAAACTTTATTCCACGCTCTCTAATGGATACACACACAGAATAATATATCAAACTAACACATAAATTTGAGCAAAAAACAATTGTTTAATAAACAAAAGAAAAAGACTTTTGTCCAATCATCAGCTTAATTAACAATTCCTGTGATTTAGAGTGCTATTCAAATAACAACCATGAAATACGTTTGTCATAACAACAGTAAGTGCTCTTGACACTCTGGAAACCTCCTTCTTTACCAAGTGACAATCAGATACTTGTAAGTTATAATAAGAACATTACAACTTTTGAAGTTGTTACTTTCGAACTTATCAGCTCATTGAATGCAAAAAAATATAACCAGTACAATGAATAATTTTGTATTCTATAACTTCAATCCTGCATATTAAACCATTCAAAGCAATCTTTTCATTTCTGAGCAGGACCAGCCTTCAAGACCAGAACACTAAGGTTGCTGTGGTTCTTATCCAAAAGAATGCTCCTCTTCCTCCAGGTAAACATCAATAAATACATAGAAGTCAAAAGATGATGTCATTAAGTAGAGAGTTTTAGATCCATGTTTAGTGTTTTCATGCTAACGTCAAACCATAAGTGACTGCCAGGTCTATCTTAAAAATCTGCAAGAGGCATTACAATGAGAGTTACATGTCATTTATTGAGCTAGGCATGGGCTGGAAAATGGGGAAAAACTGCACCCAAAGTGTTGAGTATGACCCAAGAGTGGTGTCTGTAATCAAGGTCAAGGGCACAGTTTCTTCCCACATAGAAAAACATGATTGTAAAACTGTATTTTAACAAGCTGGACCAGTGACTAGAGTACAATTAGCCAATCAAAGTCAAGAATTTAAGATTCCAGCCTGTTGACATGCTTCAGAAAAAAAATATGTTTAACTTATTTCATATTAGTTCCTGTATCCAAAGATTTGAGTACCCTTCATGGAGGAAATTTTTGCTATTATATTGAATCACAGGTGATGATTTACAAGCACTAGAGAGGGCAGCAACATTGTGCAGTGCATGTGACCTGTCAGCCAAATCATTGTTTGTCCTTCCACATACAGATCACTTGATTGGCTACACAATTAGGTATTTGTTCAAAATTTATCATTTTAGATTGATTTTGATGAGATTGGTTTTCATTGAGTTTGCAACTGATTTTAAAAGCCCAACCTTTGTCAAATATAGGAAAAGATTTATTTAGTAAGAGTTTCATATTTTTTTTTATTGTATTTATTCTAGCTGATCAAGAAAAGTTACAAAACAGGACACAATAAAGACTAAGTTAGTTAGAATTATTTGGAAAAAGTGACAGTGAAGTAGAAAGAAATTGAAAAGCTTTTACATGAGTAAGCCTCAGACTCTATTAACCCTTTAACTCAGTCTCAAGATTTCATTAGTAATTCTCTTTACTGTCTGCCATACAATTCATGTGATGTTTGTGTGGAGAATTTGGAATTGGATCAACCAATAATTCCCTAATTGATACTTTTCTTTATTCTCATTACTTGTCTGCTTGATATTGTATTAATGATGTGTAAGGAGAAATTTTGTCTTGGTCACTGGTGGGACTTAAAGGGTTAAACTAACTTTAGACTCACTACAAGTTGTTTAGTTACTTACATGGGATGAGAATGTTTTAAAAATAAGGGAATATCTATCAGAAAATCAGATGTTATCAGCATTTATCAAGACTTTCCCAAGAGAGTTAACAGCCTCTCTATTGATTTGTGTTTTCATCTGATTAACCCTTTAACTCCCAGATCAAATTTGTAATTCTCCTTACTGTCAACCATACAATTCTTATAATATTAGTTTGGAGAATTTTTTATCAGATCAACTACTTATCCCCAAATTGATATTTTTCTTTATTCTCATCTCTAATCTAGTTGATATTGTATTGATATTGTAAGGAGAAATTCTGTCTTGGTCACTCATGGGAGTGAAACAGTTGAATGATCATACTACAAGTTATCGTAGTCATTCATGGGACATGAAATTTATGCAGCTTCAAAATAAAAAAGGAACAGGTTTGAAACTTATGAGATAAATGTTTCTTCTTCTTCTTCTTTTTATTTAAGGCTGGAGAATGCTTTTTATGATTTAGCACAGAGTTATTACCATGGAGAATGTAGGAGAGTTAAAGCCCACAAGGTGAAGTTGCAATTCTGGAAATTTGAGGGAGTAGGGAGAAGGTCAGGTTATTAAAATCCCAGCCAGGGGGAAACAACAAGCCTGTATTTGCTTCATGCTGCGGAAACTAGGGAGATGCAGTGGCCAATGTAATAAACTGTGTCCACTGTTGAATGGTCCTGGTCTAAAATTTATTTTCAACTGTCACTGTCTACATTGTCTTGAATTTTCAACTAGTCAGTAAAAGGGGAAAAGATAGCACTCTGGTTAGCTTTTTGGACTCTTTTGGTTTAACTGCCTTAGTTCAACATAAATTCATGGTAAAGCCATTAGGTTTTTTAGTAGGACACTCCCCTTGTACTAAGTAAATTTCTGTTCTCAGATCAAGGACAGAAAAGTACCAGTAGCTAAAACTGTCTGTTGGAAAATGTGCCAAATTCTGGGTCATATACATGCCTGTATAGCTTGCCTGGTAGCGCAATGCAATGTTTCTATAGATTACCTTTTCACTAGCCAGAATTACCATCAAAATAATGTTATGTTGTAGCACAAAAGGTAAAATTTTATCAAAATACAGAATGAAGTGACACTTATTATGTTTTCATGCTCTTTATGATCATTAGGAATTTCTTAACAAAGGAACTCATCAGGTGAGAACTTTATTTTGCAAAAGTGATCTTTGTATGTCAATAATTTGATGTGATGGATTCTACTCAAACTACAGAACTACATTTAGTTAAAGGCTGAGGGAAAGAGTTACCAAGAATTCTAAGCAGAAAAAGCTTGTTGATGTCAGCTTTGAAGGGTGTTACTTTGAAATGTTTCTCATCCAGTGTCTTTTTTTTGCTACCCTCTTATATTCCACCAAAGACATCACTGACCACATTTTGCTTTGCACATGGCCTCAACAATTCATAAATCTCTTATTTTGCTTCTCTATTGTTGTTGTAGCTATTGTTGGTGCGGCACCAATTCAAGGTTGCCTTTTTCAATGAGCTAAGACAAGACCCTCACTCTGCTATCAAGTAAGTTCATCAGTATTTATTTTTTTATTGATCTTGCAATGACAACAATTAGTTGGCCAAAAGGTAGATCTCAGTGTTTCCCTTTTATCGGTTAAGGGGTCAGGAAGGAAAAGGAACTTTCAGGGCTGAAAGCCAACTTTCTGTTAAGAAACTTTTTTGAGAAAAGAAAATATAAAGAGGAAAAATAGAAATGAAAATTTTGAAAAGGACACTCTGTGAGAATATTAAACAATATACTTTCAGCTGACAGAAATGCTTGTCCCCAAAATGAAGAGTATGAGCAGCATTTGGTGTAGGATTTTCACAAGGTATCTCAAGGTTTAGAACTAGGACAGTGGAGGAGAAGGAGCAAATTTTTTTATGGAAGAAAATGACAGAGAGTTAAAAGTTTTTCTGCCTTGCCACATGACAGCCAAAGACAGTTTACAAAATTGGCAACTCCTGCCACAGATTTCTTCCCCCAATATTTTCAGTCTTCCTGCCTTGGAGATCTCTCAACATAAACTCTCAAGTTAGTTACATTTCCATATTAACATACCAGACATCAGCTGATTGATGTAAGACTTTTTCAATTTTTAACCCCAGGCACTACAGGCAAGCATACAGTCTTCTTGGAGAAATCAAGACAACTGACATGAACATACTAGAGATCAAAGTTGTTGCTGGATTTATTAATTACAAGGTTTGTGTTTTTTCATATTTTAGAACTCTGGTCAATATATATTTGGTGTATACCATTGTAATAATAGTTACATAAAAGTAATGATGTGAAGAAGACATTGTACATCTTGGATGAGTTAAAGACATGATCTCTTATCATGTAATTTTATATTTTTGGGATTATGTACTCCTTTTGTCAAAGATGCAAGGTAAATTTTTCACCAGATACCTTAATTGTGCCGTTAAATCAAAAGATCTCTGTCTGTAATTCTAAGTCTGAGGTGTACAGTCAAGTCACTCTTAAGTGGGCACTTTAGGGAGATGGCCATTTAATAAGTTTATTTTAGAAAAATATAATCAGAAAGTTATGAGTGAACTATGGTACAGTACTTACTGGTAATTATTAATTCTTGAAATCAGTTTACCCACTTAACCATCCAATTTCATTTCAGAATGAAACTACATTATAGAATGTGTTGCTTACAACGTTGATGAAATATTCCTTATTTCTCTCTGATTTTATAACAAACCTGTTGGTGACTGCTTACGAGAAACACAGTACAAAAAAATGTTTCCAACATTTTTTTAATATGGTCACTTACAGGAGTGTTTTGGAAACAGTGACAAACAGAAACAAAATGGTTATTGGCAGAGTGGTCACCAAAAAACCAAATATGTTTGAAAAAATTTGATGCTAAATTTAGCTTCAGTGGAATTTAAATGTCCTATGGGACCATTATATCTGGTAATTTATATCCCTCCTACAACATATATTACAGACTATTGAGTTATCCTGACAACCAAACAGTATTAATCAATTTTTATTAATTGTCTCACAGATTTGTCGTCTAAGTTTCCAAGCATCAGCCCCATTAGATGCCATATCACAATTCAGAAAGCATGTGGATTTGTTTAAGGAAAAGGTTGGCTGCCCTGACTTAGCCTTTGAACACTCAGCCTGGCTCTCCAAACAGTGAGTATTTTTTCTGTTTAGCCTCCTCACTCTTAACTGGAAGGTCTGCATTCAATTTGTTTTTTGGGCACTTACATATTTACAGCTACAGCACCTCCCTCCACCCCAGAGTTTAAATAAGTATTGGCCAATTATGAAGGGAATTTGATAAAAATGCTGGGGGGTGGGGTAGGGGGTAATCTACCAGACCTATATGTAGCATCAAATCCAGAGAGAGAACTTTTAGTCTCTTTATGCTACAGAAACCATGATAAGCTTTGATGTGGTGAGTCCTCTTTGGTTTGTGTTCTAGAAGGTTTTTGCTTTCAAAGAAACCCAAGCTGTGACCAGGATCTAACAACTCTTGTTTCTTAACAACATTAGATCAAGAACAGGTCAAGTTGAAGTGAAATTTTTAACTGAACTTTTCAACATAATGGAACTGAAGTGATGAAAAACAGGAGACTTTTAAATAATTTGTTAGTCAGTTCAATGATGAATAATTGTCAAATTTAATACAACATGCTGTATGGTAGGGAATTATAGAGGCTTAATCAATAACAAACTATGTGAAAAATTAATACAGGTTCAGTTTATTTGGAGAACTGTTTGATGAAGCCATCAGAAATGGTTTAACCGCCTTACAGGTAACAATGTAGAAGATCTGTGTTGGCATATTGGTTTAATGAATGAAATATTTATTTATTAAATCTACAAACAACAATACATCTGTAAGAAGAGAAAGAAATTCTTACTAATTATGTTACTAAGTATTCTGAATTGGTATTTAGAATAAAGAAAAAATTGTCTCCCATTATGCTATATCTCTTATGATAATTGTATGCAATATAATGGAGTGTTTTTCTGTTTTAAAGGTACTTTTTTGTCATCTCTTAACAATCATGATGATCTTTTCTCCCCTAATTAAATTTTGGCTATAAACAGAGAGAGGCACCTTAATAAATAGGATTGATGTAAATGTGCCCAAACAAATCTGGTCTAGTGACTGATTAGAGTGTCCAAATCAGTCATACTCTCAGATTCTGGTAAAGACTTAACTGTTACTTTATCACAGACTCAACACCCAGGATTTTACTATCAACAAGCAGCAAACAATGCCATTGTCAGGAGACAGCTTTGCCAGGGCTTGTGTCATGTAAGTAAAATTATTATCATGCCAGAGGATTGCTGAGAAAGATCTGAAGGAACAGTGACAGACACAAACTCAAAGGAGCAATATTTTTCTTATTGAAAATGACCATTTTTTTATCATTAGTTGAAACTTACCAATATAAATTTGAAGACTAGAACTGTCTGACTTAGGTAATTTTGAAGTACAAATTATTTCTGAAGAACTTTTCCTGGAGGGCCTTACCCAGATAAATTGGGCTACATACTTGTGCACATGAGTGGACATAGCTACAATGGAGGTCAAAGCTTGTTCGGACAGTTATCAAAAACATATCCTATATCCCAACATATTACAAAAGGCCATCTTTTGCCAATTCAGCTGTGTACACAGAACTCCCCCCCTCTAACAATGTTGGTAAAGCCTAAGTTTAGGCACTACATCCTGGTAACGTTTACAAAGCACACAAAATTTGAAATTGTTTGGGGGAGGGGCAGGGAAGGTTTTGATATAAGTAATATTGCCTTAGACTTTAAACCACCCTTGTAGTGTGGGATAATGTTGAATGTAAACTAGTGGCAAGAAAGAGTCATAGATTCCCTTCAGAGTACACCTAACCAAAAACTAATTAACTACCACTCAAAAGGGTCATTTGTTTTCTGCATGTAATTAACTTTTATTGTTCATTGAGTCTGATGAGTTACTTTTTAGTTAATACATTGGAATCTGTTATTAATTCATCTCTAGACTACCACTCCACTTACTATGAATCCCTTAGAAAATGCTGGAAATCTCGACTTCTATGGTCAGAGACCTTGGAGACAAGGTTTTCAAGGTAACTGCAAATATATAATTTTTTTCCTCTGGCAGTGTTTTTTAGAGTAAGTACAAAAGGTGTTGAGACACTCAGTAAGTTTCCTTTGCAAACCATGTACTGGTTGAAAAGCTCAGTGTTAGAATTTTGTTCCATTTGATAAGAGAAAACTTTTCGTGTATTAAAAACACTCTGTCGGAAAAAAAATTTTAAAACTTTTTTTTCGAGCTTATTTGAAACTTGATCTGTTGAGATGCAATACTTTCCTTTAATTTGTAGAACTGCTGGGTTCATTTGACTTAATATATTTGTAGGAACAGAACCACCAGATGCAGGAATAGAGAAGGCTGGAATTATAGCCTTGCAGTCCCAAGAAATCCAAGTGGACCATTCTGTAAGTGCACTGTATTGTTTGGCAGACTTTCATTTCAAGAAAATTAAGATCAGATAAATGTCAGGGAGAAGTCATGGTGACAAATTAAGTTTAAATGCAAGGTTAATATGACTGTAAATTTTTGGTTGTGCACAATTGCATCAATGAGCTTTCTAGCCAAACCAAAGCAATTATGAATTTGAAATCCCAATTGCCAGTATTACATAATACCTTGTTAGCAAATACTCTTACCATCAATCTCTTTATTTATGCTAACCTACTTTGTATATTTGGTTGAGGTACTTAGAATATTGGCTCCTTTTTTTTTTCTCCCAGTGGGTTATCATTCCCCTTCTCAGTAGTGCAGTGGCTCAGTTTAAAAAGTACAAATCACCCAGGATGAAGAGATACCTGAGTAAGTTCTCTCTTTTTTCACTTTAACCCTTTAAACCCTAAGAGTGACCAGCATCAAATTTCTCCCTAAAATATCAGCCCTGAATCACATGTTAAGGTCATGAGAATAAAGGAAATGATCACCAACCAAAGAGGCTTTTGATTGGTGAACAAAATCTCCTTGTCAGCACCTTAGGAAATGTATAAAGAACAGTATGGAGAATATATAGACTGATTTTAGAGTGTAAAGGGTTAAGAACTTAGCAAGATGCAACTAAAAGCTTTTGTTTCTTCATGACAATGTACATGTAGTGCTTTTAAAAGTTTTTTTTATTAAATTTACGAAGCAGAGTGATATAGTGTACATAGTCGAGGTCTATTGGCTTTTCTTATCTAATTATCAATATGACAATAATATGCAATAAGAATACTTGATAAAACATAAGGATACAACTGTACGTTGAATAGTAGTTACAATGATGATTAATATTGCATATGGATAACTGGGCAAGCTAATCATTTTCTACTGTATGCTCTGAAGTTCTTTCATGTTCACGTTAACAGCAAGTCTTTTTTGTTAATTCTGCAGTGGTTCAGATGGGTGAGGAGTATTACCATGCTAGAGATTACAGTAAAGCCTTATTGTGAGTGTAGCATAAGAGAATGTTTCAGTTTAGAATCAGTAGTGATCAAGTATTGTACCACAGGCAGGCCAGGCCGTTTGAAGCGTCTTCCTACGAAATTACTTTCGGCCGGAGGCCGTTACGTGAAAGTAATTTCGTGAAAAGACGCTAACATACCACAAAATGAGTTGATTAATATTTCATTTAACTTTATTGAGGAATTCAGACCAAAATGTAATTTAGATATGCATTTTTCAGGGCTTTATTCATAACCCTCGTAGATTTCTTCTTTAAGGTTGTTGGGAAAAGTCACCTGGGATTACCGCAGAGAAAAATGGTGGTCACTTCTTACGTCAGTTTTAATCACATCACTGAGGTACTGTTGTTTTGTAGTAAGTGAGACAAGATTTGTACTCTCCAGCTCTTGTTTCTGAGAACTCAACATGTAAACATTTTCAGTTGAAATAATCTGAATTTACTTGGTTTTGCATTACCTTGCTTTGTAATTGGTCTTGAAAACACGCGCCACCCTCTCAACCAATCAGGTGTAAAATTGAAACCAATGGCGCATTGGTAACGCGCGTTTTCCCGCGCTTCAGGCAGCTTACTTGTTTCCTCTGTAAGTTATCACTTGTGATATTTATCTTCACTGTGATTGGTTGTTGGGTTTACCTTGGTTGTGGTTGGCAACACGTTATTGAAAAGCCCTCAAGCGTGAGAATCAGGGATACTACGTCGAGGTTGGTGGAAGTTTGGCTCATTTACGACACGGACACAGCCAACTCGGACAGACGGAATAATTCCACGTCTGTTCAGTTGGACTGCTACAATGCCAAAAATCTAAGTTTGTCTTCTTGTTTAACGTCAAATTATTGCCAAGAGGTTGTTTATGAATAGCAATTTTAGTGTAAAACGTTCAAAACAGTTTTTCTCAACTTCAAGTTTTAGATTTATTTATTCGTATATCCTTAGTCTTCTTAACTCTTGTTGCAGGTGTGCGTACTTGGTTGGCAATGTGGAGGAATATATCACCCTTTCGCTTGAATTGACGGGAAGATGTATCCTTGAAAATGCTGCCTATCATTTGAATAACTGAACGTAGTATTTTTTTCTGGGTGAAGTGATTCTTTCGGGTAGAGTTATTTTCAATGCAAAGTGATCTGGGATTGCATTGGTGTAACGTAGCTTCGTTATGTTATTGGTCAAGAAAACTCGCGCCATTTTCTCAACCAATCAGATGCAAAACTAAAACCAACCACGACTTGGTCTTCCGCGTTTTCCCGCGCTTCAGGCAGGGTGCCTGTTTTTGCTTTGAGTTCCTATTGGTTCTTCATGCTAGTCACTCTTATGGGTTAAAGGGTTAAATTGGTTTCCAAGTCAGGTGGAGAGGCTGAAAAGTGCCTTCAAAACGCAAGGTATTCTTGGGCAACCAACTAGTAAGGTTGCAAAATTTGGGAATTTTAGGATAATATTGACATTTGTAGTTGTATAAAGCGGTACAGATTTTGCCTAAGTCAAATTCACTGCGGTGTAATACGTTAGTAAAACATCTTACCCAATATTTGTTATTGTATTAGTGGTAAAGTCCTTGATTCAAGAAAACATCAGATGTTGAAAATTCACCTGAAGAGAAAACAAGATGTCAGACTAATCTTATTCACGTCATGTCGGTAAGGACTTACTGCCAATGGTCGTTTAAAGAGGATTTATGGAGGAACTTTTATTGTAGAACGAGTTTACGCTGATTCTTTCTGTTTTTGTCATCTACGACCCTGACACTGGTGATTTAGACATGGAAAGCACGCGCGCGGCTGAACGCGAGTTAAAAACGCGGGAGAGTTTCCTTGCCCGCATGGCTGGTCTTTCGCGCGTGGATAACTCGCTTTTTGTCGAGCGCTACTATTACAGGATGAGCATGTTACGAAAGACAACTGAATTCTTATCACTGTATCATGTTTCATTTCTAATTTTTCATTGGAATTACAAACAGAATGAATGTCCTGAGCCCGAGCCAGGCTGTGACTTTGAAGCAGTGGAAGAAGCTAAAGAGCTGTGGAAAACACTTAAAGTGACACCACAGGCACCCCAAGTATTTACCATACAGATGGAACAAATAGCACCATTTGGTAAGAAAATGTCAACTCTACTGTGTATTTTTTTTTCACAGTTTACAGAGGCGGAAACTGAATTTAGCTGTAGAAACTCCTAAATTCAATTTCCAAATACAGCAACCAAAATCTTGTAGGGTAGAAAAAAAATCTTCTTTAATACCCTTTAAAACCAAGACTTGATAAAGAGACTGGTAAAATTTTTAAGTTCAAAATATTAATGAATGAATGAATTTATTTTATTTGTTTTATGCAAAGTGTGATATTGTAATATTTCCTGTTGTTTTCAATTTTGTTCTTCCTTCAGTGGAATGCAAAGCAGTCTTTGATTCAGTTTCAACAACAGCAGATTCTACCATCCTTCTTCAAATCTACTTAAGGTTTGTAATGTCTTCTTAGAGTCGCTTAATCCAATACAGCTTTCACCCTTAACTCTCAAGCTCTTATTAATTCTCCAAACCAATGACAGATTTTTCTTTTGATGGTGAGTCACGAGAATTTCGTTTTATACGTGACAAACAGATTCCATGATGCCGTGTGTCTGTTCATTAACAGATCACAGACGACGCTAAAATGCTGGAAAGAACCAAAAGTGATACATTTTGACGTCATCTGTAATTTATTATTGAACAGACGCACCGTAACATGTCGTTTCTTTCTTGAATATCCCTTAATGGATCATTTTCTTAATTCTCGTAAACTGTCTTCGTTAAAAATTATCAAAGTATGGAGAATGTAAGTTCTGATTACTCATGGGAATGATATGGTTAAGAGGAAGCTTTTAAGAGACCACAACCTTGGTTCAAAACTGTCAGCACTGAAGTTATTTAGCTCTATTATGCATGGTGACGATTCGGTGATTCATTGAGAGCGCTTTTCGATTGAGTGTTGTACAGCAACCTAAAATAACCTCAACGGCAACTCAGGATAAAGGAAAATATCACGAGAAGCTTACGAAAACTCAGCGTACAAACAAACTGCCATAAAGAGCGGGAAAAGGCGGGAGATTGGCAGAGATAGTGGCTCGAATTTTCAAGACCGATCTTTGACCGTAACGAAGAAAAACTGATGTAGTCCCGGATTACCATTGACAATCAATTGAAAGTTGTTCTAAATAAAGGTCTAAACACTTGTTATTGTTGTGTGTTGTTATATTTCAGGGTTTCTTGCCCATTTCCCATCCGATTCTCGAAGATTGCCGTTTTCTTTAGCAATCAGGTAAGTTAAAATATTCCTACATACGTTAGGCTAGTGTTACGTTGTTTCGCCAAAATATGAAAGCACAGTTTAGTCTCAAGCTTACAATAGCAAGGTAACTACCACAGCTAACCGGAACGAAGGTCGACCATAAAATGCACCGAGGAGAACCGACATCAAACAACTGTGTACAACAGTAAGTGTAGGAAACGCGGATAATAAAGGCATGATTGGTTTGGTTTTGCATATGGCGTTGAGCTGATGTCTTATTGTCTATGATCTTGAAGGCGTCAAAAGTGAAATGTAATCATTTGTGGTCACTTCGGGTGTGAATCGCAACATTTCGACTGCATACTGCCAGTCTTCTTCAGGCGATGAGGTCGACCGAGTACGCGTCACTAATATGCTCTTGTGCTTAGCTGTGATTGAAATTTCACGGCTGTGATTGCATGCTTGGAACAGGCTAATTTCGTGTCTGTCTGCCTGTAATCATGCCATGACACTCTGGAAGCTAATTTGGTTGCATTTTCTACTGGCCTGACTCAATTTTCTTTTATCTTTTATCTTAGTTTTATAACCAACAGTGTGTTGTGGAGACTGGGTCCGCTCAAGGGGAAGGTGGATTGTATCTTCTTCCTGCAAAGACCAAAGTCATACCATTTCAACTAGTGCCCCAGCCTGAGGATGTTGGAAAACTACTTCAGGTAAAAAATTACTGAAATACTTCCCCATACGAGTCTTCGCACTCATCAATAATTTATTTGTATGAAATGATAATGTTGCAGTCAGCTGACGAGACTAGTAGCCAAAAGAGGAAAAGCTAATGGTCTTTTACTAGAAACTATCTTTAGAGTATTGCTGCCAGTCCAAAGTAAGATTGCCCCCCTCCCCCCGCTTCCCCGCGCTTTATCATTCCTAGGTGTAGAGTAAAGAATTTTTGCCCAACAACATTACTCAGTGATCCCAACCAGGGCTCAAACCCAGATCTCTCGGTAGTGTCACCGGCAAAGTTTGACAGAAAACTTTTTTCCGGATGAGACCGCTTTGGAGATTTCAGATTTAAGCTTTCTTCGTTGTGGTTCCTAGGTCACCTCCGTTGCTCTGGAGTTGGGGTCCCGTGAGTCTCGGTGTGCTGTACTGGTGTGGAGTGGCTGGGGAGGGGAGACTGGTAACCAAAACCTCCCTTTTGTTTCATATGGTTTAAAATCCGCCAGCAAAGAGGATCAGTTTGACTGGGATGAGTTAAAGGTCATCTCGAAAATCAAGTAAGTCATGCATGTTTTCCATTGAATCTTAAACTACGGAGTGAAGTTTATAGTAACAATTATTAACAGACGCAGAGGTGAATTATTGTTTCAGTTTATACCACATAAACTGATGACTAGTGATCCAAAACATTTTTAACGTATCTACCTCCGAGTTAGCCAATCAGTGCGCGTAAAGAACGGTATCCACTTGAATGGTAATTGCTTACAGGCCTGAATCACATGGTATTGAGAGTTCTTCGGAAAGTAATTAGTCAAATGAATAATTATGACCCCAACAAGGTGGAATTTATTGTTGATATCAGTTCCCTTCGCGAACTCTTTACGCCAGAATTGAACCGCGCAAGCCTAGAGTTAATATCACACTGAAGCACGAACCACCCGCCCTCGTAAACGAGCTGTATGGACTTCAGCTGGTTGTTGAGAGTTTGGAAGATACACCGCTGAAAGACATCAGGTATGCCTTTTCAATGTGTTTTTATTTAAGTGTTAAACAAGAACGTGAACCAGTTCCCTCCTCTCCTCCCGTCTATTTTTGATTTGAAAGTAATGCTTTCGCAACATGTCTCTGCCTTTCTCACATTTTCGCGCTTTTTTCGGTTTCCATGAACCTTACTCCTCTTTCAAGCGTTACAACAACAATATATGCCTTTTTTTAGAGTATGGCTTGGATTTCAGGACGAGCAGGAATCTCCCGAAAGAGGTGAGTGTTTTAAAACAACAACGTCTTCCCAAATGTTATATTGTCATATGTCAATAAAGATATTCAATCCGAGAGAGCCTGGGTATTTTCCTACGTCGGAAGATTAGAGCGTTAAAGCGCTTTTTGCTTGAGCGTCGTAAACCAAAACCACAGGAATCACAACAGCCAATCAGAAGAAAGGAAAATAACTTTAAGAGCCAATTAGAGTTCAAGGTAAAACCGAAGTTTTACATCTGATTGGTGGAGAGAGTGGCGCTAGTTTTCTGGACCAATCACACAGCGAAGTTAGGCAAACCCAATGTAATCTTGGTTTACTTTCAACACTTAGTTGAAAATTGCTCCAAATTGCTTTCATAATCTGACCGATTAATATGTTTTCGTTCAAAATGTCGAGTTTCTTTTAATTGTATTCCCAGGCGCTTTGATATACTCAGAAGTACTCGCAGCAGATCAGGCTGAGAGAGATGCAACGAACTTTTTGGAATTTACTGTGGATGGAAAGACTGATAAGGTATGAGAGGTTGTATAAAGGATGATACATAGGCGTGCATGGCTACGAATTTTATCTTCGACCCTTGCGTCTCTACCCGTAACCAACAAGCTATGCATTTCAGAGTGAAATTTGATTTGCGACACGTGAGTTGCTTTAGATTTGTGAACGGAAAACTTTGATGGTGGTGGTGAATTTATTGGTTTCTTCACATTGTGAACCTTATGACACAATGTACTTTTATCCTTTTAGACGTTTTGGTGTGTAGTATGGCTGTGTATTTTTACGACGTTGTCGTATTTTGACAACCGATTCAAATTGAAAACCAACGAATGAAAATACTCAGCGATGCCATACACCAAAACTTCTGATAGGTTATTCGTTATCCAACTGATTTATTTATACGAAGATGTCGTCCATTCATTTCTCCAATGGATCAACTAACGTAAGCATAGCCAACCATAGCCGACATTGCTGATGCTAACAGTATGCAGGACGCGTTTCATATTTGAACTTCGTAATGGGCCTTGTTCATCATGGAGTCTCTGTGGCTCAGTGGTAGAGCATCGGAGCGCGGAATCCGAAGATCTGAGGTTCGATTCCTCATGAGCACTCAGAAGTTTTTCTTTGTCTCACGCTCATGACAAGAAGATAAGATCTTTCTCATTTTCTCTACCGAGCTTAAAAATTAATTTCATACCCTACATCCTATTTACAAGATTTTTTTTCTTCCGTACAAAGTAACTAACTGTCGAAATAACCGTACAATATCGCAGGATATTTGTACTTGATGCGCCCATTGATTCTTTTTCATACTCTACTTAGTGCTTTTGGATACTTCGTTTGTCTAGTGTGCAGGAAAATTAGGCTTTAGCACCAATGAACCGTCGTAGTTCACGTCTTGCATATTGTCAATGTGTCCCTTTCGTCTTTTCTTCCTAGATCGAGAGGTCGTACTTCGTCAAATGCTCTCAAGTGGGATCGCGGACTGTAACAGCAAAGGTATAATACCTAAGTAAGCTGTAATTGCACCTTTAATCACAAATATTTGGGCGTCTGTTTAGAGAACTCAAGTCATATTTTCGTGCTATACGTAGCCTGCAGAAGAGGCGCAACATTTTTGCGTTTTTAAAGCGAACGAGGATATGCAAGAGGGGAGGAGTGCGTCATTTTTCTCCCGTCTCTCCCTCGTACGTCACTTCCGCTTGCCTCCGTTCACCCTATTGTGCATGTTCTGTTGGCTATGAGTTCCATTCAATACGTAGTTGAAAGATCTCTATACAATACCTTTAGATACGCAATATTTTTCTATGTTCTTAATCTCTAAGGATCAAGTTTCAAGTTAAGATATCTTGCATTCTTTAAAAAGATTCATATTTTCTTGTTTTGTTTTTATGCAGATTACTTATACAGTAGATGTCCAAGTAGAACCAAATTCGTCGCCAGTCACTTGTACTTGTGCCAAGGTGAGATCACTCTTTTGTGTCTTAAAGAAAAGATAAAGCTACCTCTCAGTATTCTAATCCACAGGACTAAACAAATTTGCAAGCGCCGCGTAAATTTCCACATTTAATTTTAATCCTCGTTCGCTTTTTAATGTTGTTGCACTTGTGAATGTAAGTTGCACTTGTAACATGGAGCGCTTTTCGATTGACTGTCGTAAGACCATAACCAAAGTAATCACAACGGCCAATCCGAAGACAGGAGAATACCTTAAAGAGTCAATGAGAACTGAAAGTAAAAACAACAATACCCAAAGGGCGGGAAAACATGGCTTTATTATTGCATCTGATTGGTTGAGAAAGTGGCGCGAGTTTTCTGGACCAATCACAGAACACAAGTAATCTCAGATTTCTTTCGACACTCAATTGAAAAATCCTTCACATGGTGAATATAAAATCACGACGTCTTTTTGCTTTCTTCTTTCTCTACTGTCCTGATTTATACCCGCCCTAGGAGGAAAGTGTTGTTATCAAGACTGTTACGCCATTTGAAATCTCTTTGTCTCTGACAAATCTCAAGGTAAGGGAAAGTAGGCAATATTTTTTTACGCTGCAATTTTACGTCTCTTGGAATCGATCAAACTTGCGCTTTTGGCTATCTGTGCAAACGTGCTCTCGCTCTTGTCTCAAATTTCTTTCTTACTCTGAAAGTTACGGCATAAATTAATGCATTTATAAATCCGTCAAAATTTTTTTATCGTGGCATAACTCTGCGAATATAAACCTGGTCTGGACCAACACGCCTCTGAATTAGGGTACTGTTGTTGGAATTGTTGATTAGCGTCAAGGCAACGCCGCAGTAAACGATGGTTTAAAAATGAATTTATAATTTCGCAAATGGCTGAATGTGTTTACCGTTTCTACACGTCAACCGTAGCATAACGTAAGGAAGCCGTGTAGAATTCCATTGGGGTTTCCGTACACAGACCACGCAAATTTGGTTGATATCACGTTGGAGTTTTGCCAAAGACGGCTAATAAATGTACAAAGATTTTATACGCACGTGCCGATCTGCCAATTTGATCTTTTGTTTTGTAACACCCTCATTGTGGTCGTCATGGTTTGCTTTGAGTCCATATTTACAGGGAACTAAAATTAATTGCATTTTCGTTTTTTTAATTCTTTTTTTTTTTGGGGGGGGGGGGGGGCGTGTACACCACAGCAATTTAATGAGCCTAAATCATTGATTTGCGTTTATTCTCAGTTGGAGAGACTGGATCAGCTGTTCGAAGAAGAACCATTCCTCTTATTAGCTGGTATCAAATGCACCTCACCTTGGCCTGTTACCATGGTCACCACTACATTGAATATGGTGAGGTTGTAAACAATACAATTTATGTTCGCAAAAACTGGGTTTGTCTTCCTTAAGAAAATATAATCGAGAAGATAACAAGTCGATGGAGCAGGAGAGCATATGCAGCCTTTCCTCTCCCCTTCCCCCCCCTCCCCCCCCCCCACGCCCCCCCACGAGCCAGGATGGGAATGTAAGCCAGTGCATAGATATACACTTTAACCTAAGTGCGTGATTTCCCCCGCCGGAACTTTGCGATTTAACTCACTGAAGAAAAAGCAGTCTGAGCAATTCAAGCTTTATCGGGGATTGACGGGGAACCTATATCTTCTAGAGAATAGTCGGGTGCTACTTTCAACTATGGTAGAAAGAACAAGCAGACATTCTGGACAACTGTTTGTTTGTTTGTTTGATTTCAGTCTCCTGAAGTGAATATTGTGGGTGAAGAGATGGGATCGCAGCTGCAAGGGAGTAAGGATTGCATGTCTGTGTATTACGAGAATAACCGATCTGAATTAGTTAAGGATGCGTCTACTTGCACTGCCGTCCCAAAAAATCCGTGAGATTGTCGTTGTTACAGCGTATCGGGCTTCTTTTTAACTAATCGCCAAACATTTGGGGAAACTAGACAAGGTTGACCGATTTTTTGGACCAAATCTGCAGGGGAATACGATGGGAATTTTCCTGAGGGGCTTCAAGGCTTTCAAGGCCCCCTCCTCATACTACACAAGGTTGAGCGATTGTGTAGACCAATGGAGAGAGAGGGGGGAAATCTACGTGGGAATACGAGGAGAATTTTGTTGAGGCGTTTTCAAGGCCCCTCTTCATTTAAAACAATGACCAACGGAGGAAGGGGGTAAGAATTTGCATGGGAACAGGAGGTGGATTTTGTTGACGGGTTTTCAAGGCCCCACTTGGTGAAAACATACAGCTTTGCGATTTGTGCCCCTATATGCAAATTGCGGGTTTCAAGATTTCTCGTGAAAATTTGGCAATTATTCCCAACTTGCTAGCTGTTAAATCTTTACAGGATACTTTGTCTCTTTCTCCTTCTAACGTCATGTATGGTGGTCCCAGTCTCTTTGCAACAGGGTGAAAGTGCGTCGGAATGCTACTGCTTAGCTGTTAAAGAGGGTGTCAGTAAAATGAAGGTCGTGAACATTGGAAGTCTTGCCCTCCAGTGGAGACGGTAAGTCCGTGATTACACTCGAGGGACTAAGAAAAGTGAGATAAATATTGAGACAATTTTCAATGGAGTACCCAATGTAATACCGAACTGCATTCAAAATTTGGTCCGCCTTCCTTTGCTCTGTGATTGGACAAGGAAAGTTGCGCAACTGTCTCTCTCAACCAATCATGAAATGCAGAGTTTAAACCAATAGCGACTTGGCCCACCTGCGTTTTCCCGCGCTTCAGGCAGTTTGCTTGTTTTTTCTTCGTGTTCTCATTTGTTCTGATGTGCCGATTTTATTACTTTGGTTTTTGGTTTTTGCCAACACTCGGTAGATCCACTGATGCCTTTTCAACTGAACCTTATTTAGGAGAATATGTCCCAATCCTTTCGTTGCTTGATTTAATCATTTTAAATTTTTTAATTCTCCAGAACTTCTGCGGCTGATAAGTTTCCAGTTGTGGTGACAGAGCTCACTTTCCCCTCTGTAACAGTAGAGGGTGTTCCTTTTGCGATACAGGCAGGTACGTATCCAGCAATGTTATTCATACGGCAATATGCCAAGCGTCAAAATCAAACTATATACGAAAGGGTCTTTTCATGCTTCTCGCTGTTGACCTGATAATATCGTGCAGCTTTTGTAGAGGCATCGTCGTCCAAATGTGACTGGGAGAACAAAATTGAGTGGTACACAAAATTTAGTAAAATTGCGGGCAAATTAGCATAAACACGATGAAGTCGATAAGGTTGTGCAAAAGCACTCTTCCCGCGCTTTTTACAGGGTTTCAAATTGTTCGAGAGATGGGTAACAAACGCGGGAAAGTTAGTTCTAAAACCTTACACGCACTAGGAGAAGCTACTCATAAAAAAACGTGGTTAAACTCAGTGTTAATAAATGTATAGAGGGGGTACGTTTTTTGACATAATTTGGTGTTGCGTCGGTTGGGGTATTGCACAATAGTTGTTTTATCAACAAAGTTTATAAAATAAATTGGTCTCTGTAAAGAGTTTCTCAAGCTGACTTTTCGAGCGTCAGCCCTACGTCGATACTTCAGCTGTAGAAATCCTTGGTCAATGGCCAATTTACATTATCACTTCAGTTGATGAAACCAAATTAGCTTTAAATATATGTATTTGTTGATGAATAGAAAAGGAAAGGCGGTAAATTTTAAGCTCCGTAATAAAGTAAAGAAAGATATTTTCCTTCGTGTCACAAGCGTTGGACAAAGAAGAAGTGGAGCTTGCCATTCGAGAGCGGAATTCGAAGTTCTGGGGCTCTAATCCTCATGGAGACACGCCCTCGTTACAAGACCAAAGGGAAAAAATGTATTTATTGTACCGTTTTTTTTTCAGATTTGCCTGCATACGGCTGTGTACAGACTCCACTTTTCGTAAGCTATCTCGTCCGCAATAGAACGCTTCAAGTCCAGGAAGTCGAAGTCACAGTGGAGCCAAGTGACGCCTTTATGTATTCAGGTCATAAACAGGTTAGTTCAGCTTACTTGCTACACGTAAAACATGTCTCATCCGAGGGGGTTTGGTGAAATAATATACTTGAAGAAGTATATTATTGGCTACTGCGCTGTGATTGGCCAGTCAAACTCCCAATATCCTTTGCCATTTATCTACGAGAAACGTGGGCGGAATTTGCCAGAAGCCAACGCAACTTTGTGAATAGTTGTTAACGATGAATTTCTTTTCCAGATTCAATTTCGTCTGCTGCCAACTGGCGATCAGAGACTCAAGTTCAGTTTGTACCCTCTTTACGCCGGCTTTTTGACTCTTCCCAAGCTGCATTTCAAACTGCCTCGCTTTCAGGTTAGCTGGGATGAATATGCGCAGAAACTGGTTCCGACCAATGTTTTTATAAAGGTAAGAAACTTTTTTATGTCCAAAACGTGAAAAAATGCAACTATTTTGCAACACGTTGGCAGAACATCGGATAACGGTCAAGTTGGTATGTTATATTTGTTAACACAATTATCGTTCTAATTCGGTTCACTATATTAATTATAAATTATTCAAGTTTTCGATTACCGTAACGTTAATGATTCTAATCGCCACACTGGCTTCTCGCTGAAAGGCTGTATCCTTTAACCCTTTCACTCCCAAGATATTTTTATTAACTCTCCTTACTGTCTGTCTTACGATTCTTTAGATGTTAATTCGGAGAGTTTGTCATTGGATCAACTGATAATCCCCCTAATTGCTAATTTTTTTGTTGGCATAACTTGTCTGCTTTATATTGTTTTGATATTGTAAGGGGAAATCCTGTCTTTAGTCACTTATGAGGACTTCCTGACTTGAAAGTGGATGTGAATTCTCAGGCCCGGTGGCCGTATTTGCAACACCTCTATGGCCCTGAAACGAAAAGACAAAACAAAACAAAAACAACAACAACAAAATAAACAGCTGCATTAACCTTGTTGGAAGGGATGGCTGTGTAATGTGTTATTACACAGCGTGGACTGACTTTCTGAACAAATCACACATACCAAAAATTTATTTGTTATCAGTGTTAAAAGTTAGCACGTAGGATATCCTTGCGAAAACAGGTCCAGAAGTTTTTAGTACAACTAGCGACTGGAATACCAGTGATTAGTTATAAAATGGAGTAGTCACAACTTTTAAAAGTTAGCATGTAGGATATCTATGCAAAATCAGTTATAGAGGTTTTTACCATAATTAGCAACTGGAAATTCAGTGGAAAACTCATTTTTAACGTGTCTGTTATCACACAGCCTCGAGGCCGGGAATTGAAACCTGAGAAGAAGCCTGGTTACGAGTACTAAAGATAGCTAATGGAACAGAAGAGACTGGAGGCAAACTTTCCAGTTATAGTCACAACAGGATTTTAAGCAGCAAAGTGATGCAGCGGAGATTTGAACCGCTGTAAACTGCCAGCCACATGAAGGAAATTCTTTAGTGGGGGCTTTTGTCCACTGGCTGGTGAATTGCAGGATGTTTAAGGCCAAACAACTCTGTGGTTAACAGATACGCTTACGTGTTTTTGCGCGCATGTCGTACTGATATCACGTAGAATCAGTTGCACTACTTCCTTTGGGTGGATTAAGAAATTAAGAGTAGCGCTATTACATGGAACGACGACTTGCCTGACGATTTTTGCTCCGTTTGTGAATTTCTCTCTCTTGTTGAGTTGGGGTGACATTTCCCAGTTTTGTTCATATTTAACCCTTGAAATTTCGGGTGGAGCGCTTTTTGACTAAGTGTCGTAAAACTGAAACCAAAGTAATCCCAACAGCCAATCAAAAGAAAAAAATACTCTGAAGAGCCAAGAGAAATCAAAGTGAACACAACCTGTCTAAAGCGCGGGAAAACACGGGCGACTAAGTCGTGGTTGGTTTTAGTTTTGCATCTGATTGGTTGAAAGAGAGTGGCCCAAGTTTTCTGGATCAATGACAGAGTGGAACAAACAAACGTAATCTTGGATTGAAAATTGCCCTATGAGCTCAAGATTTCTTTCGCGTGGTCGTTGACGTGGGCCAAGCCTGAATCAATTATCACACAGAGAAATCAAAAGCGAATGATTTAACTGTTTCTAAGTTGAACTCGTTCAAAACTTAACAACGAAACAGGCTCATGGTTTTTAGACACCTGGACAGTATGAGGCTACGTAGTTGCGTAGCCAATCAGATTGCAGCATTTGTGAATTTCTACTGATATGTGATTTATGATATTTCTGTGAATTTATAGCTTATACCGTCGATTCTTAAAGAAATTATCGTTCCTTAGCAAGGAAATTGTAAAAGTCAACATAGTCTTAGTCATTTAAACTTAACTGGAAATAATGGAAAAAAACAACAGCAACAAAACAAACTGGCAATACAAAAATATTTAAACTACGACGAATGACTAAAATTAATGGCAGCAGCCATATTTTTTATTGAAATTTAGGAAATAAAAAAAACAATGTTATGTTGCTATGTTTACCTATTACTTAAAGGATCTATAACACAAGAACAACCCAAAAATCTTTCAAGGGGATCGGGAAATTCGAAATGTAAAACATGTCAGAGCTTCCAAATGTCTCTTTTCTGACGAAAGATGAGCATTATGTAAATCTGCTTAGTTATAATGGTACTATAGTACATTTTATAAATAAGCTGCCTCTCTGCCAATCAGACACGGGTGTTAGTCATTTATATTTTTACATATTGTGCTTGGTATAATTGTATTTGTTTTGTGTCTAAAATATTAGTTGAGTTAATAATAACCGTTGTTTTTCACCTTTTGACAGAAAAAAGAGACCCCGACAGGGTGAATGATGAGAACTGCTCGAAGGGAACAGAGCTAAAAGTTTTTTAATAGACTTTTTAAATTAATAGAAAAAAGAAGAGAAAGTACTCTATCCGGTATTTCATTAAAATTAAAAAAAGAGCTATCCCAAATTAGGGAAGATCTAGTTCAATTTTTTGTGCTTTCTTTTCCAATATTCTCAGAAAGATGCATTGGTTACGTACTCAAGAATTTATTTGTTTTTTTTTACATAAAAATGATATTTCTGATATAATAAGCGCAACACAATGTTCACGCACGTAAGGCTGTTAAGTAAAGAGAAATCAGTAAAGTTAAAACGGTATTTGATTCATCAACATTCATCCCCATGCTCAGTTGTAATATGGTATAGGAAAAATGACTGATCAGCGAGCTAAGCCAAGCTGGGACAAAAGTGTTCAAGATACGATACGACCAACGGGAATTTTTCAGGGGGGGAGGGTGGGCCGTTCACCTCTTCGTGGCTCCGCTGAAAATTGAGCTAGAATGAATCATGTTCACGCCAAACCAGAATTTAATATCGGAAATTATGTAAATAGCCGTGAGACTGCTCAACTAGCCATGACATACCCATTATTAAATGTATTTCAACTTCGCATATCATCATGAGTGTTATGAATAGTAGTTTAGGTATAAAACGAACCACTAAAATCTGGTTTGATTTTTTTTTTGTCAAAACCTTTTGTAAGGTTTAGTTAGCAAAACCTTCAATTTTTTATGAATGATTTTGATGTAGCATCTTAAAGGATCCTTGTCAACCCCACGCCTCTACGGAGAAATTCGTTCATATTAACTCAACGCTTAGCAGAAATGGTGCCGGTCTGTAAACACTTTTTGGCGACGCGCTCCACATTTAAATAAAAACGTTCAGAGATAAAAATACGACTAAAGAAGGGGATAACGGATACCTGACGAAGTTCTGGAGAAATACAGTCTGGGGTTATCTGCTCCAGTAGAGAAGGGTCACTTAATAAACAAAGAAAACAGCACACAGAAGAAAAGATTGCCTTTTGTCATGCAAAACCACGCGGCTTTACCGAACCTCAAGAACACACTGGTGGGAAAATGGCACCTTATTCAAAATTACACCGGAAAAAAAATCATTAAAATAAATCCCGGTCAGATCTAATCTTTGAAGACAGAAGTTTAAAATCGCTTGCGGATGGCAGGAGTGTCATGCAGGCTCGTCAGTACCCGTCAACTTTTAACTGGCCACTTGGCCTCTTGTAATATGCACCTTGCGCGAAGCTTGTCGACGCTTTGGTGCAGAAAAATCTTTGCAAATTAGGCTCTCGGCACTGAAAATAAAAATGAAGGGCGTGATCGCATGAAGGTTTTTTCCGTAGATTTCTCTGGTTGGTTCACCTCAACTCGTGTTACTCATCTTTTGAGCTGATTTCTTAGAAAGAAAGATTATCCAACAATTTTCTTTTAAACTTTCATTTAGTGTTCCTCGTCAATTTCTGTTTCGAAAATACAATAAAAAAAGATCGGTTACCGTGCTTTTCTAGGAGATTAAGTGGGCCAAACTTACCACATTTATGCCTGTACTGGCACTAATCAAGCGCATCAATTCATCGGTTCACAGTGCTGGGGCTGGGAGGGCTTTTTGAGCAACTCTTGGAAAAACTTGATGGGCAGAAGTGTCGAGCATAGGGAACAAGTGGATATATAATTTGTGGGAAAATCACGCAAATTGAAATGACATCGACTCAAAACGTTCCATGAGTCTTTCCTTTCAAGGTCGTAAATTTGCATCCTGGAGTAACGGGCAGGCTCTTAACTTTATCTTTTTTTTTTCTCTTCGAAGAGTTTTTTTAAATTTCCCAATTTTAAAGGGGACAAATTGTACACCAAAATCATGCAAAAGAATTTAGGTCACTCTGCTCGTTCGAGAGCTAAAGAGTATCGTTCCTCTCTACCCGGTCCATGGATTGATAACAATACCGTGTTCTCAGAATGCACGGGTACTCATTCCCCTGACTAGGTAATTTTTACACGCAGTATGAGATGCGCAGTGCAAAACTGAGAAATCACCTTAATCACAAAATTGAGACGACAAAGGTGTGGGATTTAGAATCTAGTATCGAATTCTCGTTCCATTATCCAAAGTATTTAAGTGAGAATGATGATACCGTACTATGTCAGAAAAACAAAATTTTCCTCATCGAAATCTAGATATGACGTAAAATACCTTGATTTCAGCTTTGGAGCGAAGGACTACACAGCGTGGACATGACCAGCTACGCCAGAGGAAGAGATTGCACGTAAATGAGATAAGGCCTTGCTGCTGAGTGAATTTTAACAATTAAACTGACCCGTTTAAATTTATAACGCTACTAAGTTTGCGGTTCATTTTTCAGCTTTTACATGAAACTATTTACAGAGACAACTTTAAATCAAGTTTCATTGAATACACCACGATGATGGGAGGTACCCAAGAGTAGGACCGGTGTGGCTGATTATACGTAAGCCGAAAAAAAAACGTTTTCTCAGGGAAAATTACAAATTTAGAGTTTACCTTTGAGCGATTATTCTGTTTTCTGCTTTTGTTTAGTTATCTTCCTTTAGACCTTTCATATGAAAATTTAATTGCAATCTCCAACCTAAAAATCAGACCGGAATTGGAACAAAAATGTGATAGGTCCTCCTCGACTATTTGATGCTCATCACATTTTAACAGAGGTGAAATAGACTACATTCGTTGATTATTACTAAGAACATTATGTAATAGAGTAGTCCGATCGTCCAAGTGAGTGGAGACCTGAGAAGAGCTGTTGTCGGTAGTGGTGACTACTGATAACAGTCCTTCTCAGGATTACACTCATACGGACGATCAGACAACACTCCACACTTAATGTATGGTCCCGAGGGAAACAGTTAGTTTTATTTTCCCGAGAGTCCTGATGAATTTGATCAGGGGCACGTGACCAAGAATCAGCCAATCACAGTGCTCGTTTTGTTGAGTTAAATTCTAGGTATATAACAATATCACATGTTACCCCCAGGTTCAAACCATTTATTGTATTAAGAACATTCTAACATGGTTTCTTGTCCTCTCTCTACCCATATCACTGGGTCTTTTGCTAA